CCTGATTAGTAACAATTTGTGCACCAAGCATGAATGATGTTCACCTCCCAAAAAGTACTATAATTTTCCTGGGGGCATAACATCAAACATAAAAGCCATTTCCATTAAAGATAAGTGCTGTCACTCATCTGTAAGCAGCAGGCTTCTTTTTGTTATCTAGGTCCCAGTACCAAGGCTTGGGATGACTATTGCAAAACACAGATTGATCTGTTTGTTTGAAAAACAAGGTGGGTGTAGGGCTGGGGGTCATTTCATAAAAGATCAGGTAAAAAGACTTCAGATGATTTGGGCACAAACATTCTTATTTGTTACCAAAGAAAGCAGTGCAGTTCATCTGACAGATGTTTGGCAAGAAAAAGTGATTAAGAAAAAGAGAAAGATAAAGAGATGAATGAAAAAAAAACAAACACCCTAAACCAAAATCCCCCTTATTTTCCAAATAACATAGCAAAGAAAGCAGCTAAACACAAAGGGCAGCACAGACAGACGAAGCTGACACCTAACATCAGTGCTGAAGAGGATATCTGGGACCTCCTGTGAATCCATATTTGCAGGTGAAAAAATAATGTATATAAAGGAAATTCACAGTAAGCATTGCCATTCCTTTGAACAAAAAATCAGGGAGCAGAAACACACTCGTATGTAACCACTTTCCAATGAGGTGCTTGGTATGTTGCCTTTAAGGAAGAATAATCACCTTCTTTGCGTACACCTAACATGCTTTTACATGCACTCAGGTATCACTGATCTGTAGATGCTCATTCTGCATCATCATATTTTAATACTGTGTTAATTCTGGCAGTCACTGAATGAGATCCTGGCAAAGTGATCAGGGCCGGGCAGCACAGGGGACCAAAACATGCTGTGTCCTCTGGGGACACACACACAAATACCATACAGTTTTCCTGTGTGGCAGAACTACAGAGAAATCCTCCCCACCTCCAGCAACTGCAGTGTTAGGAGACTGCATTCATCCAGCTGTGCTAAGGTTTGCTTGTGGTGGGCACCTGGTTTTCATTATGAAATCCTAAGGAAATAGTACCCAGGGCAAGCTAAGCCCCAGTGATGTAATTTCCCCTGATTTAGAGACTTTGCTTCGCTACTGAGACTGGACCCAAATTCCTCCATAGCCATGTTTGCACTGGTGTAAGTTAGTAGCTAGTTATATGGTGCAATAAGCAGAATCCCCTCTCCTGACAGTTTGGGTTGCTGACCCAAACCTTCAGAGCTGTGTCTTTAAGGGAGGAAAAATAAGAAAGTAGCCTGTGGGAAATGTGTTTATTCACAAGCATTAGTAAACACTTTTCGGGAAAGATGGGATTTTTATAGTGCAGGCATTATCATACAGATTAAAAAAGGGACTTCTCTTTTTTTTTTTCTTGCAGACTACCCTACTGATCTGATAAGTATTTGCGTCTCCCTCGAGAGATGTTCCCAGTCACACAGGTCATCCCATGCAGCTGAAACCAGCATCCGAAGTATTGCACCAGCAGTATAAATGAAAGTAGGGCCAAACTTTGCTACCAGAGACATGGTTTTCAGTCCCACATCTCTCACGTGTAAAGACACATCTGTTTACCCTTAGTTGGAAGCTCAGCTAGTTGCTCCTCTGCACAGCATGACCACTAACCAACAGCTATTAGTATCCACAGGGCTTCAAATCTGTATGCAAATTTGGGCTAGTGCCGATTCCACATCTGTATCGCCATCTAGCAATTAACTTTGACAGGGCAGGACAATACAGACGTATTGTCTGAGCTGAGGACCATTACTTTCCAGGGCACTATGTTCTACTGCTCGTGCAATAGGGCAGTTTCACCTGTAAAACCACAGGAAGTGCGTAGTTCCTTTGGTAAGCCCCTCGGAAAAAACCTTTGGAAAACAGCTGTTCATCACCAGTATGCCCCTTCAGAAGATCTGTATCCCTGTGCTGTTCGTACCAGAGCAGTAAACAGAATGCTGTAGTGGCTGAGGTTTGTAAACTGATTTCCTCAGTTCTTCTCCCCAGTTATTCCAGTTGATTTGTGACCTTGTTCAAACCACCAGTTTCCATTTTTCTTCCTGGCAAAGCTTACTCTGCTCTGGAAATAAGCTGCTGCAGGCTACCCAATGAAGACAGCAGCAGACAGGTCCAAAGGCAAGCAGGAGAAGCGGCTCCTTGTAGGATGCATGAATGCTTCCCCATAAGTTGCCATGGGCATGACCAGTGAAAGGAGAAACCATGATCGCTGTATGGCTTTTTCCTCTCTCGCTTGTGCCTTCACCCAAGGGCCACTACCACATCAGTGCAAGAGCTCTTCATGCCACAGGTATCTGTAATAGCAATGGGTACACAACACCATGATGCCTGCAGTGCCATGATTTCCTTATAAATAGAAATCACAAATGGCTAAGGAGAAATATACAAAGTATGTAACCATGCGAACTGAAGTACCTGAGGATGGAAGAAAAGAGCACCTTTATCAACACCACCTTCTTGATGACATTGTGTGCTTGAAAGTGAACCACTGCTGCAAAGACTTTGGCTAGTCCTCAGCAAAGCATGTCAGCCTTATCTGTCGTACATAGAATCATAGAATGGTTTGGGTTAGAAAAGACCTTAAGATCATCTAATTCCAACCCCCTGCCATGGGTAGTGACTCCTCACACTAAACCATGTCACCCAACGCTCTGTCCAACCTGGTCTTGAACACTGCCAGGGACGGAGCATTCACAGCTTCCCTGGGCAACCCATTCCAGTGCCTCACCACCCTTACAGTGAAGAACTTCTTCCTTATACCTAACCTGAACTTTCCCTGTTTAAGTTTAAACCCATTACCCCCTGTCCTACCACTACAGTCTCTGATGAAGAATCCCTCTCCAGCACCCTTATAGGCCCCCTTCAGATACTGGAAGGCTGCTATGAGGTCTCCATGCAGCCTTCTCTTCTCCAGGCTGAACAGCCCCAACTTTCTCAGCCTATCTCCATACAGGAGGTGCTCCAGTTCCCTGATCATCCTCGTGGCCCTCCTCTGGACTTGTTCCAACAGCTCCATGTCCTTTTTATGTTGAAGACACCAGAACTGCACACAATACTCCAGGTGAGGTCTCACGAGAGCAGAGTAGAGGGGCAGGATCACCTCCTTCAACCTGCTGGTCACGCTCCTTTTGATGCAGCCCAGGATACGCTTGGCTTTCTGGGCTGCAAGCACACACTGAAGCCGCCTCATGTTCATTTTCTCATCGACCAACACCCCCAAGTCCTTCTCCGCAGGGCTGCTCTTAATCTCTTCTCTGCCCAACCTGTAGCTGTGCAGGACCTCGCTCTTCACTTTGTTGAACTTCATGAGGTTGGCACCAGCCCACCTCACAAGCGTGTCGAGGTCCCTCTGGATGGCATTCCTTCCCTCCAGCGTATCAACCGAACCACATAGCTTGGTGTCATCAGCAAAGTTGCTGAGGGCGCACTCAATCCCACTGTCCATGTCAGTGACAACTATGCTGAACAGGATCGCTCCCAGCACTGACCCCTGAGGGGCACCACTTGTTACCGGTTTCCAGCTGGACATTCAGCCCTTGACATCTGACATGGAACTGGTGTAGCTGAGCTGCTGTAATGTTTCCTCAAAACACTTAACAAAAATCATACTGCGATAACTGGGAGATTAGTCAACATCAGGAAATAAATTCTTCAGTGGTTACAGAAGAGACAGAAACCACATCCATTGCAGGAAATGCCTGAAGCTAAAAGGTTGCTGTTGGTTCCTGAACATTCATTTATGTCTCCAGTGGAGACAGGATACTACACTAGTGATGCAATTGTCCATGCTAATACAATGTGGCTTGTGTGCATGAAAACAGTCTGCTTCATGCACTAAGCTGGGAGGTATTGGGAGCTTTTCAGAGAAGCAAAGTCTGAGCACACTTAGACTGCAGGGACTGGTCTTTCTCTCAGTGCAAACAGCCTCCACTGAGATGCCTGCCAGTCTCTGAGCACACCAAGATCTCAGTGTTAAGGTCTATAAGGAAAGCAAATGCTTCCAGCTGCTCTCCCAGAGAATAAAATACTTCAGAGGGAAAAGAAACAGAGAGAAGAAGAGGTGGATCTGGCAAAGGGAAAGGGAGAAAACAAGAAAGAACCGGTCTGAAAAGAATTTTCATTATTTTTGTGAAAAGAGAGTCATAACATGGAGCAGAGAAAAGATTGCTCTTATAGCAGGTGCAGAAGCCCAAGTCAGCTAATCATCTGAACATGCTTGAGCATTGGTTTCATTTCCAGTAACAGCCACCAGCACTGCAGTAGAAACAAAGGCTCATCCCAGAGAAAGTGAAAAAAGGAAATAACTGAAAGAAAATGGGGTAAAAGAGGAGGAAAACTTGGTGAAGAGCTATTTGAGTGAAAGCAGAAGCAGTCTGAGAGCCTCTTAAAACTTGACAGGTTATGTTTAGGTTACAACACTACATATCTTCTGCTGAGCACTCAGATAACAGAACCTATTTGGTGGTCGGCAAGGTTTGCTTGTGCAGATGTTGAGGTAGTGCAAAGGTTGGGTGGGAGATGGGGGTGGCATTCAGCAGTAGGGGTTGATAAGAAAGGAGCAGGTAAGAGAAGTAGGTTGCGCTGCTGCATTCATCCGGCACCAGCAGGCCTTGATACTCAGCATGAGTTTCACAGTTTGAAAGTCTGTGAAGGTTACACTGAGAGGGTGAAAACCTTGCAGCTTCCACCCCAGAGGAAGACTGTGATTTTAGAAGTATTTAGATTTCTTTACAAAGTTTATATTGAAATAGTTTCATTTTCTCCATTAATTAGTTGAAGAAAACAAGTTTTTCTTGGTTTATTAGTTTATAACTGAGGAAAACTACTTCTGGAAGCACAAGAACGTCACAAATTTTGGGAGAGGCATTCAAGTTCAGGATCTTTGCTATGAGCTCTTTGCACACCAAGGCAGTCACCAAACCCACATAGTCATCTCTGTATCAGGGAAACAGAAGGAAGGCAGAGGGAGAGGAAATATGTATCAATTCACCCAAGAAACAGTAAATATTTTTTCTAGTTTTACCATTCTTTACAGAAGCCTTTTGGAGCTGTTTCAATCATGTCAATTCATATTGCCATCCTGCTGCAGTCAAGCCAGGCAATCAGATGTCTGAAGCTCCTGTGCGGAATATCAACATGGCCTAAAAAAGCAATAGAAAAGCTGAATAAATACACAGGTTTTGCCTGGTGCTCTGAAATCACTGAAATCTTTAGAGCAGATTGAAACAACTGCTTGCGTAAGAAAAATATCTCAAAGAGTGTCTTTTCCTGACCTCCACTTTTATCCTGATCGTAGTGGGAAGATGTAAATCAGTCAGCCTTGGATCAGAATGGGAGTTTTTATCACAGACCTAGAGGACAATGAATTATAACCATGTTCTGTCGCTTCATGTTATTTCAGCATAAACAAACACATTCAGAAGTTATCTGTGCTCTGAAAATAAAAAAAAAACCCTGCTGTTTTTATTTTTTCTTTCTTCAGAGTTCAAGCTTGTTGTTCTCCAGAGTTGTTTCTACCAAGAAGGGATGCCAGAATTGATTTAATGCCAGCGTGCTTGATAGCTACTTCAAAAGTGAAGATGTCCCTTCCCATGGAATGCACTGAAGAGTTATGCTTCTATTCAAAGTTGCCAGCTAGTTATTAAGATCTCCTTAAGCCATAGAGGCTTTCCTCAAGACTTACTAAGAATATTTGTTAAAAGGCATCTTGAAAAGGAGACTGCTTTCCCTGTTGGTATCAGGCAGCCTGGTCACAGTAATTTTAAATACAGGTAACTCAATTACTATTACCTGGGCTGTTGCAGACAGTGTGGGGCTCCCATTTTACTCAAACTTAATGCTCCTTGAAATACAGGCAGAGAAGAACTTGAGCTAAACTGGGACTGAGCTAAACAGTCTGCTTGGCTTTGCCCTTGATACACAGCTGCGCAGGTTGCAGCTTTGAATAGTAACAGCAAAAAATAAAGCCCAAGGATGTGTCTTTGCAGGTGGGGGTGTAAAATGGCTTTGTTTTCCTTCCATATCTAGATTGATTTGGACAATGATGGTTGCAAACTGAAAAAAGAATGACCATGGCAAGCTCCAAACAGTGCAAGTCACAGTTTTTCCTGTCATGTTTCAAGGGAGTTAATAATTGTTTATTTTTTGGTCCCTCAATTTTTACAAGGTTGCAAAGTTCATTCCTGCAAGCAAGTCATTGTGGCAGCATAGGGTTAGGCTTGGTTTTTCTATTTCCCGTAAAGATTAAAGAAATTATTCTTTCATTTGTAAAGCAAAATAAGCTCTCTTTTAGAATCTCGGACACAAACCAACATGTGATCAGCCCCAGTAATAATCTTATCAGACTGCCATTGTACTTTGCACAAGTGCCAGCAAAGAGGGGCAGCTGGCATTTATTTTTAAACTTAAAAATGGTCATGAGAGATGGAAGTGCTTTGGGAGGAATTAGTCATGGTTCACAATGATAATCTTTGTTAATGAAGCTCCAGGCAGGCTTCTATCCATAAGGGACAAATAATGAGGTGCAGAAATGCTTACAAGCCCATAGGGAATTCATCAACGAAGATCCTCTAGTAAAAAAGCTGAAGAAGGAGTCTGCAGGATTTGAAGAGCGATATTTATACCAGAGACAATGTTAAAATGCCAGGCTGCCAGTACACACACACACAGGGGTTCAGCTTGTTAGCAGATTGCTGTCACTGCTTGTAAGTCTTGCATTCCCTGAAGTGCCCTCCTTCTCTGCCTGTTGAGGGAACAGGAAGGGGACGAGCTTGTGATTGAAACTACCTGTGACTTGGAAATATTTGTGACAATATCACTTGGGGTCTCTGTGGATGTCCCCCAGAGACAACACAGATGCACAATTTTACATGCAATTTCAAGGCCATGGTGGAGGGTTTCTCCATAAGAGCTGCCGCCTCCTCTTGTCCCCATTGCTCATGATCCAGAACTCGAGCCACCACAGAGAAGTTAGGGATAAGTGCCATCTGCAAGTGGTTCACCACTTGGGTCAGCTGATCACAGATGTGATTGAATGGCCATTTCTAATAGCCATTCTAACCTGCCTTACAGACGCAGAGGCTGGGTGGGTGTTCACACATGGAAGATTAAAGTTACGAAAAAGCTATTTGATTCTATGCCCTTGGCTAACAGTGAAAGATGGGAGATCTTCTCAGGGGTCTCATGGCACGTGACAGACAGCCCATTGCAGAAGCAAGACATGCTAGATCTTGGACACTCAGTTGATGCTAAATCAGAGCACATAGATACGGACTCCCAAGCCTGCTGTAACTATGAATGATCATGGAGACGGAGATCCCTCAATGTTGCCTCTGCCTGTGGCTTTGAGGAAAATTCGAAAGCTGTGTGAAATGCAAGGGAATGCATTTCTTTCTATACTCTTATTACTCAAAAATCAGAGGTACTGAGCCTTGTTTGACTGTCAGAAATACAGAGCACTAACAAATGCCCCATGTTCCCTTTCTTCCACAGGATCAAACCCATCTTGAAGACTAAAGGAATTTTGTCCAAGGGCTGACCAAATGACTGATGCCCAACTCCCAGTAATTGCAAAGTGCCATGGCCAGTTCCCAAGCCTACTTTAGCAGGGGCACAGTGATTGAAGATGCCAGGCACAGCCCTGGTGTGTGCAGGTGGTGGATCCTGGCCAGGGGAAGCTGGGGAGCATCCGATATTCTGTAGTTCCTGGCTGAGGAAACGCCTTACAAGCAACATTCATCTTTCCTTTCTTGCTCTTGAAATAACAAGCCAGCACCTGAGGTGAGCTGAGACAGCCAAGGACCTGAAGTTTTCTTCCTCCTGCTGTCTGTGAAGCCTTTTGCATTTCCTGGGCAGGAATGGTTTCTGTATGCAGGTGACAGCTTGGTCTTGCACCACAGGTACAGGGCCAGCATATCTTTACCAGTTTTATGACTTCATGCGGGATGTACAATACAGCCACGGGGTTGAGGGCAGTGATTGCTGCCTTCTCTGCTGAGCCTAAAGGAGGATTGTACAGGAGGCTGAATGAGAGGTTTCCAGTCATCCCTTTCCAACCAGACAAGACTATGTGTCTGCACTTTTTCCCTCCTGAAGTTCTGGGCATCTGCTATAATTCTTCTCATGAGATCTCTTGGACAGGGGGAGAGGCTTGTTAGGAATGTTGATTTCAAACTAGAAATAACAGCTTGCATCAGATTTGCATGTTTAGGAGAAGGAAGAAAATTTCCAAAATTTCACAAGGTTGTTGGGGCCATTTCCATAGCATTTACAAATCTAACATAACCCAACTGCCTTTAGTTCATCATGGGTAAAGTTCTGGTCCCCCAGGATTTTGGGCAAGATTGCTTGCCTAGATTCTGTCTGAAATACACAATGCTTCAGAAATCCACCACCAGAGTTGTCAACAGGCAATTGGTCCCGAATGAAGGACCAATTTAAGGGAGTGATCTCCTTTGTCTCCCTTTTTTCTTCTTTTTATATTATTTCTTTCTTCTTTCCTTTCAGATTACTGAAAAAGTTTCTTAATCTCAGTTGTATTTCAATGAAAACTTAAACCCCCTCCACTTCTTGAAATCATTGTATAATTGCATATGACACCAAATGGGAACAGACCAGTCAATATGCACAAGGGCAGGGCTGCTGTTTGAGGGGCTGTGACAGGGTGAGGAATGGTTCCAATGGGGTCCATGCACTTGGGTGGGAGCAGCAGGCAGTCCAGCCCCAAGCAGGCAGAGCCATGTCAGCAATGCCAGTGGGGCCAGCTCTGTGCCCTAGCATGTAGCAAGGCATGAAAGCCAGGCTAGAGAGAACGGAGGTAAATGAAAGTGCCTTTCCCCACATGACAGCACAGGGAGGTGATACCGTCTTGATCCTTGGAGATTTCCAAGCCTTAGCTGGATAGAGCCCTCTGGATAGAGCTGGATGAGCAAACTCCTCTGATTTCACATCTGACCCAGCCTGGAGCAGGCAGCTGGTCTACAAACCTCCCAAGATCCCTTTCCCTCCCTGCTACTCCTGTTTTATTTTGATTGTTCTCCTCTTCGCAAGTTTCTGAAGAGGATCATTACATAGATACAGAAGATATGTAAGTCTTATCTTCAAGCTGGGCTGCATGTTTATCTTTCAAAGACTTTGTTCTTCCAGTGTTTTGTCAGATAATCACAAAGAACAGTAAGTTGGTAAATAATAAAGCCTCCAAATTGCAATCTCCTTCCCTATTCAAGTCTGGTTTGCTTTTGGATAACATTGTATTCCAGTACTCCTAGTTCACTGCACATCTGGAAGCTGCCAGAAACAATGGGCTACACTGGTTGAATTCTACCCTTTTTCCAGAAATATGCAAAACGTTTCATATATAAGAAAAAAAAAAAAATCTCCATTTGGTTCTCACTAGAGGAGAATTTTTAAAGTTGCATCTGGACTTTCATAGCTTTTATGAGTAATTTTCTCCAAGAGAATAATGTTACCTTCAACTTTCTATTTAAAATTAAAATTACCTTTGCCTTGTGTTCTTTTTTTTAATGCAGAAAATTCATCTTCCTGTAAATCTATTCCTACACAAATTTTTTTTGCAACAGCAAGTTGCAAATATTTTAAGATGATTTTTGGGATGTGACCCCATTATTATAATGCCTCTGTCAAGGGGTCTTTGGGGAGTTTTCAGAGCTTTATTGGAAGAGGGAGAGCATCCCAACGTGCTGTTACCCTGGCAGCTGCTCTTCCCATCTGAGAAGTAATAAGTAGCTTTTTTTCTCTTGTTTGGCTTGTTTTGTGTTCTTTTTTTTCCTTGTGTTTGTTTGATTTTCTATTGTTTTGCTTCTGCCTTTTTTAAGGAGTTAGTTTGTTTTGCACAGCTGAAGATGAATCAGAGAACAGTAATCAAGACCAGCATGTGTTTCTGCCTGGCCAAGGTGAGTATTTACGCACTGTACCAGTCTCCCAAGGGTACCTCCTACTCTGTTCCGTGCACCATGAAACCCATGTCCTCCACCGCCTGGATGTCAGGGACAAAACCATGGCTGTTTTCCAGGAATGCAGATTCACTGAAGCCACCAAGATGCAGTGACTTTGCCTGCTGAAGTGGGTGCTCAGAAGTGTACTCGTGTACCACAAGTGTACTCGTCGGTATGCTGCCCTGGGTCATTCCTCCTTTGTGCTTTCCACAAGTCACAGATGTACTCCTGAGGCGGCTGTATGCCCATCCCCACGTAGCAAAACATGATCAAGCTAAAAATGGATATGCAGTTTGTGTCAGGGGGAGGGAAAAACCAAAGTGACAGACCAAAGCTAGAAATCTGGAAAAATCTGCTGGGAACAAGATGAGTTAGCCAAGATCTGCTGTGCTTCCAGGTGCTGGAAATAACACTGCTGAAATAAACCCAGACAGAGGATCAGCTGGTGCAAGGTAGAAGCAGACAGAGACTACAATAACAGGATGCACCACTGGCAGGCAAGCCATTGAGCCAACGCTTTTCAAAGATGCAGCCATTGCAATCTTGTCTTCATGACAGGAAATGAAAAAAAAAGGCTATTTAATGTGGAAGCATCAAAAGTGCTGAGATGGCTTGCTCAACTCCCTGTGGGAAGCAATAGCAGCAGTGCTGAGATGCTGGTGTGACACAGGAATGTAGGAAGCTAGGGGACAGATAGAGAAGGAAAAAAAGAAGAAATCCTCCCTCCAAGCCTAGGTGATTCTTAGGTTAACAGCTCATGCCATGACTGCCCACTGCTGATGACCTGGCAGTTAATAGTTATTATATCAAATGCACACTTTGGGACATCATTCCACCAGGGAGCATTTTCAGCCAACTGGCTGCTGTTCAAGGGCTGCTAAGCCACTGCCGACATTGCTGCCTGGCCATACCTGCACTTCTTACTTGTTTTGTTCTTGCACAATGGAATACTAAGAAACGAAAGTTAAACAGCAGATGGGCTGACTCTCCCCTTCAGCCAGTTCAATGAAATAGGAAACCACAAAGGGTTTTCAGCTGTTTACAGAGCTGAAAGTTCATAGCCTTCATGGATGCTCCACAAGGTAGATTAGATACTTCACATATTTTATGCTAATGCTTGGTCTGCTGACAGCTATCAGGTGATAATTTGTTAGCCTTTTAGTATAAACAGCACTGAAAAGCCATCACAGGAAGTATTACAACTACCCCACCTCAGAATTATTTATGCTTTAAATCCCCATTATTTCTGCAGAGGGGAAAGCTTTGTTTCACCTTTATTGCTCAGTGGGTGCCTTAAGGTTTGCCTGATCTCCATATTAGTCCCAGTTTCCATAAGAGAAGATTTTTTTATTATTATTTTTTTAATATATATTTTAGATCTAATGCAGGCACTGCAGTTTTGAGGGTTGAAACAGCTGCTCTGGTTTTTGCTGGGAGTTTCGATTCTCTGTGTGAGATAACACACAAGCTCATCAGCTAACATTCTAGTTTAAAGTGAAAATTTTTATGAACAGCTTGTTCTAGCATAAGAATTTACTTTCTGGTTAGCAACTGCAGACTTCAAGCTGTCCTGACTTTCTTTTTTTCTCAGCATATTTCTCTCCGTCCTCACAAGACATGTGGTTGAGTCACTTGACTGTCTGCAGACGGGAAAGGCTGTCCAAAATACAGTATGATGCATGGCAAGGATGCCCCTCCAGGGAGCAAACTGCTGATCCTTAGGTCCACCTACTCTGGATGTTGTTTGGAAACATGCTAGTACAGGCAGGCTACTTTCGGAGCAGGGGCTGCTGCCTTTTACACTGCCAGTGGTTTTACAGCTCATAAATTCATAAGCACTGCAAAGCCCAGCTTGAGCCTATGCAAGCTATACTGCATGAGCCAGAGTTGCCTGGGAGTCTCCTGGGTTTTGGTTGAGGCTGTTCCCTAAACCAAAATTGAGCGAACATTGGCTGGTGTTTTCTAGAATTTACCTCCACAGAAAATGTAAATCAAGTCATTGATTTAGTTTTCGCTGGTTATCATTCAATTATTTAGCAATTAGCTGTATTTTACAAACATAAATGTTTTTCTTGAGCTATTACTTCTCTTCCTGAAGTTATGAAATTCACAATTTTATTAATATCTCCTTGTTGATTAGGAGCTTTATGCTTTTCAGTTTTACATGATATGGACATTCTTGAGCTGCACTACCAGCAAGAGTTAGAGTCCTACATGGGGCTTTTCCCAGTGTCCTCTTCACTTGCCTTTCACTTCTGCATTTTCTGTCATTATCTGAATAACTTTCCAACTGAATGAAACAAATCCACCTTGACATCCTTACAATAAGGAAAAATATCCATGGTCTAGGAAATGTGAATATAGACTCACTGAAAAACTTCAACATAATTTATTAAAACTCTGGGAAAAGGAGTGAAAATGAAATCTGGCTTGTTTGTGAATATTTTTTTATTTATTGTCTTGGGTTACATATGTCTTTGTTTGGCAAATCTTGCATTTAAATCAAAGCCTAGATACAGGCTTTTAGAAAGGAAAATGGCATTTGCTGCAGGTTTCATATCTCTCTGTACTTAGTAATAATGAATGATAAAACTGTAAATAAAAGCTATTTAACATTTAAGAGGGATTTTTTTTCCCCCTGACATTAGTGTTCTAAGAAATTGTTTGATATAAATGTGCCCTTTTTTTTCCTGTGAGTTCTGTGTCTTCCTGGTAACAAAGCAACAAAGGCCTTTCTAATACAACATTTTAGTTACTAATATTTAGTCTCAGTAAGAAGCGATGCAAAATACTCTTTTCTATTACCATTCCAGGAATTCATCAATTTGTGTGTGGGCTGCATTGTGTTATCTTAAGGCTAAGCCTTTTCACTCAAAGCATGAATATGTTTAACAAAAGGTGCAGAAAAATTACTATAATGATTTTCCAAGAAACATTAATTCACTGTTACCATTTGCCTGAAGAATAAAGTAAAATTCTTTCTCTTTTAAAATCTTTAGTAAATCTACCTTATAAATCTCTCTGAAAAAGTAGTTGCCATAGCATTAGACCAGCTAATAATTGATATCTCACCTGCAGACTTTCTACCAGTCTGTTCAAGTATTAGTCCATCATGAGGTTGATGTAGAACTGGAATATTTATTCCTGCTCATAACAAATATTCTCAGAGCTTTTTAACTTCAATACTTTTGAGGTCTTCAAAGGAGCGTAGAACATCTGATTAGTGAAATCATGTTTAGCACAAGTTTGGACTTTATAAACTGTCTCATGTTGGGTGAAGACATCTTTCATCATCACAAAAGTTGATTTCCAGAGGATCAAAGCTCCTTCAGCTGTTCCTCTTGCTAGTGCAGGCAGTGGTTACAGCATCCTGTTAAATAGAGGAATTTTCTGCGTAACACTATGTGATCTGTGTGATGAACTAAATTACATTTTTTCCAGTAGGCATACAAATTTTATTGACAGCATCACACAATTTGTCCACAGTTTTACAGAAGATGCTAACCCAGGCTGTGGCTTTATCAGATAAACAGTTTTCAAAGTCCTGTCTCTTTCAGTGATTTTCAAATAGTGAATTAGCTTTCTGGATGCCTCTCTTTGGTCTTTCAGCTACCAGACTTCCTAGCAATGAATAATTACCATAGAAAGATACTGACCATTTCCATCTCACTGTTGGTTAAAATATTCCAGCCCTGAATGAACAGCACAATGCAGAAACAGAAGCTGAGGTCCAGTAGGGACCTCAAAAGCAATTTACTGTAGGGTTGAGCCTGCAGACAGGAGGTCCCAGTTCTCACCACTGGTTTTTAAGCCTTTTTTAAGGATCCAATTTGTTCTTTTTACTGTACCAGACCCTTGAAGTCAGTAAGGTATAGCTTTTCTTCAGTGTCCAGTAATTGTGTGTGAGCTGTACAGACCTCTCTGCCAAAGAATGATCTTCCATCAGAGCTAATTTTAAGGTCAAAGTGCCCCTCTATCAGTGACTTCTGCAGTACCGCGTTTTAACAGTAAAAGTTTCAGTCTATTTTTCAAGACTATCAAGTGCTGGTTCCCTCAGCTGTTTTTGGAAGTGGCTCCAGAGTCTTGATCTGAACTTTAGCATGAATCTGGAAGTGTTTTTGGTTTCAGTGGTGCATTACACTTGGTTACTGCAGCATTATTTTATACTCAAATCACCAGCAACGTTGTTTTACATTTCATTTTGTAATAGGTGGATATCCTGTTATTTTCGGTAGAAGTTAAATTTCGGATTCACACTGCTGGTTCTTTTATGCAGTTTATTGCTTATCAAATACTCTTCTATGATCTTTGTACTTCTCTTTTTTTTTGGAAGTTCTGCATCACTATTGCCTTTTCCCCAGGCTTTTCCAACAGTTTTGATGCGGCAAGCTCTCTGGTCTGTGGTTTAAATGAGAGTGATAGGAAACAAGATAGCTTTTGGTATAGTTTGATTGCAGTCTGTATAAAAACTCTCTATATTTTGACTTTACTTTGCCCTGTGATTTGGCAGGTTGTCTGTGTTTTGGTAGGGTTTCCTTCCCCACATTGAGATAAAAATTATTCTCATTTACTGTTATCTCTCCCATTTGATAGGATGATATTTACAGATTTTTTTCACTCTACAACCAGAAAAGGTGACACTAATATTTTACTGATTAAGCAGAAATGTTGCGAGTGCTTTGCAAATAGAATTAAAATGTGAAAATAGTACTGGACATGTGACTGCATCGTTATAATGCCCATTGATCAACTCAACAAACCGAGGTGATATAAAATAGCAGTGGGTGCTCAAATTTCTAACTATATTTAATATGCATACCATGCCTTAAATATTTCATTTTAGCATTGTAATAACTCCTTTTAACAATGGGAAACTTTCTGGCACGGATGAAGATCTGTGAGTGGTGGGTAAGACTCAAAATAATTTTGTGCTTTGGTAGATTTGTACTACCAGCACCATGCTGGAGAGGGATGCCACTGTATAAAAGTGCCCTTGGTAACAAAGAGGGTTTGTTTTAGGCTGGCTTCATTTGTCCATATGTTAAAGATGCCATCTAGGAACACAGCCTGGTGCTGGACACCAAACCATCTTGAGAATTGCCCAGAAGTATGTCTTTGGTTGGACAACATTGCATGTAAGTGTTAAATTAAGTATTCGAAGACATTAGACAAAACCAGCATGAAAAACCATGAAGAAGACCAACTGTAACACTACCGTGCATTAGCTATGCACCAGACCAGAGCCAGAGGATTAGCAAAACTCTGAAGGATCTTTCCTATCTCCATAGCAGAGCAGACAGGAGACTAAACACCCTGTCCAACAGACCAGGAACACTGAGTGAATTCGTAACTCAACTGTTACTTCTGCAAGCATTTTCTAGAGCTAAGGCACTGCAGGTCTCAGCTTTGGAGTCTAATGATTTATAGAAATCTAGAATGGCAGCTGCAGTCAGATCAAGGACAACATCACAGGGAATAACAAGTGACAATAACCCTTACTTTCCCATTATCTCCCATGAAATACTTTCAGTCCAGCAAACTGTACTTGTAAGGGGCGACCTATACTTTTTCATACTTCCTTGAGGAAACAGTAATTCAGTTTAGCTCTAAGTCAGCTCTAACCAGCGGGTGGTTTTGGATATACTGGCTATCTCACCACACACTGTACGTGTGTTTTACCACGCCTGTGTATGCATAGCAAAATCGTATTTGTTTCCTAGCTGTGTAATGATTCGATGATGTATTAAACATCTCCCAAGGAAGTTAATCTCTCAGCTGCTCTCCCCTCCCCCTCTCTGGAATGGTGAAAAGCATCACAAAATCCTTCAGAAGCATTTTTCAAACTGTTTCTGGCAAACTCTAGGATCACTCTGAACTTACAGAGAAATACCACATCTCACACACTTTGATGTCTTGATAAAAGCATCAGGTGTGCTTCTAAACTGTGCCTTCTCAAATATGTACAACCTCATACAGCTGAATTACCACTTCTTCAAGGTAAAGTTTTTTACCTTAGATCTGCAGTCATGAAGCAGAATCCACTGGCTCTAAAAGACCCTAAAATCAGCTTCCTAAATCTGTGCATTATTAGTTTGCCATCTTTGTCCAATTTAACATAAGCTAGAACATTATGTGATGAGAAGCAGCTGGTGACATTATGGCACTTGCCTAATTCCTGATGTAGAGAGAAGCACATTGCTTTCGTGGCCAGGCACTGTGCTCACGGACACAGGAGCCACATGCTGGTGTTTCTGCTAGTGGTTTCACCTCCGTGTGCTCAAGGGGTTAATATCTGCCTTTTCAGTGACAAACTGCAGCAGACATAAGGCTGTAAACCTGGGGAAGTGAGGAGAAAAAAAATGCCGTATCAGTATCAGTATGAAAATTAAACAGAAAGTCCTCCTGCCGTGTGAGACACCCCTACAGCCATCGTAATAACAGAAATGATGAACAGGATCTGAAAGTCAAAAGGCATGCGAATGGCTTGTGAGATGCAATGGTAGCTGTCCTCACCTACAGCCACATTACTTCATTCCCTGAAGGGATATTTTAGGTCTTCGGATTGCACATTATCTTTAGGATCAGCCTTCCACCTTTTATGAGGATGTCTCAGTGCCTTTGGGTTTTGATAATACTTTAGACAGAGTGAGTTTGAGGCAAAACTGTGTAATTCATATTTATATAAATTATATTTTTATAATATGTATAGATTATTCTGGAGGGGAGGAAAAACACAAAACTTCACTCTGCTGGTAACATCCGTGGTACAGGTTTCCTAACATTAAGGCAAATCTTATTAGCAGGAAAAAATTGACTACTGTGAAGAAAATTGCTAGAAGAATCTTAAGACTTTCAATTTTAGTTGGATCTTCTTGCTTTCAGAAATATTCTGGTGTCTCTAAACATTCACAATCTGACTCCAGTACCTTACTATGCTTTTCATTTCAGAAGAGTTAAGCCTCTTTTACAACTGTTTGAATGGGGAGCTAATTTGTCTATAATTGCTCCTGAACTTCCCCCATAGTTCATGTACACAGCTTCACTGGTAGCTAACATGGCAACTCTTGGCTATTTTTTATTTGCAAGGATATGATGTCATAGCTATCATAGCGCATTTAGGGATTGGTACACATACCAAATTGTCTATATTTGCCTTTTTTTGTTTGTTTGTTTGTTTTGGTTTTAGATTTGAAATCTTGAGCACCTAGGGACAGGGAAAGTTTCTTCTCTGTGGCTGGAAGGCACAATGTCTACCATAGCAATTAGCTGTAGGGTATTACTAACCTCCCCTCTATACACAGACTGCTTTCTTTCAGAAACTGGGATAAGGGAGGGGAGGTGGACAGGAATTTTGTTTGCCTATTTGTTAAATTTAATTGGGACTTGTTAAGACATCAAGGAAGCAGAAATGATCCTTTTTTTCTAACGTATTTCTTTTCCTGAGCTGAAAACGTGACCCACACCTCTAATGAACCTCCATCTCATTGGGTCTCTACGGTCCAGCCACCTGCCCCCTCAGCAGCAGGAATGAGACAAATCTCTGCCCAAAAGGCTGGCTGGTATCTCCTGTGTGCTGTTCTCTGACCCACGATCCTTTCCAGCCCCACAGCACCCTGCATACAGGGCAATGCTGTGGCTCAGAGCTACTCTCATTAACTCCTTTCTGTACTGTTTGAGACCCGTGCATGTCACAATTGGAAAGCAATTAATTGGGAACAGCCACTCACAGGGACCTGATCTAACAACTCTTCAGTACCAGAGGCAAAAAGGAGGAAGGTTTTTTTCTGTTGATCTGAAATAAAATTTAACAAATCTAAAACTGAAACTTCCATTGTCCTTAGAAAACACACATAACTCTTTTGCTGTTTTCTCTTATTTACCATTTTAATAGTTTCCAGAGTCAAGAGCCTTGACACATCCAAGGCCTGGTCTGCTCACCTTATTTACCTGAATAGCTTCAGGACAAATAAAGTCTGCCAAGGACTGTGGCATACTCCTCATCTTCTGTCACTATGCTCTGGCATGAATGAGAACTGATTGTGGTATTGAACTGAGCACAATGCAGTGTTAAGGGCTGCAATTTGCTCAATCTCTTAATGACTCTTCAAAGTTACAATATTGACCTTTCTTTAAGCACTCATTGAGTTTCTACTCAGAAGTGTTAAGACATTTAAAAATGGGCCTATTTGTCTACACAGTTTCAAAAATTTAGTTTTCTTTCTTTTCAGCATCTTTTCTCAACCCTATGCAAGATGCAACTAAAAAAAAATCCAAAATTCTCTCCAAGTTGACCCCCTTTTTATTGCTTCACAAAGTTCGGAAACATGGATACTGACAAAACTGTCAGACTGTGATGATTTTTCTGCAGATATTACCTTGGCTTCCTGCTCAACATCGTAATTTCTTTTTTAAAGCTCTATGGTGTTTTGTCTGTTTCTATCATCTCTTGAATGTTTCCTATGCTGGGGTTTTTCTGGATGGGAGCCATCTCACATGTCCTGCTCCACTCTCTTCCCGAATTATGCCTTGTATACTCTTTACAGAACAGCTATCAACTATGAAGGAATACACTGTAAACTGATTTCATTTCTCTAACTCAGGAAATAATAACCCCCAAATACCACACAGGCCACAGAGAAACAAATCCAGACTTCTTGTTTTAAATATGTTTAAACTCAGCCACGTGCCCTCGCAGCAGAGCTCCTCACACAGAGCACTGATTGTTGTCCTACCTGCTGTAAAAGATTGCATGATCAGGTCTGGGTTATCCAGGCTTTTGAGCCCTGCCTGCACAAAGGTCCATTTCATCTCTTAATTCTGATTTCTGATGTTTTCTCAGTCATGATGGAATCACAAAATAGCTTTGGTTGGACCTTTAAGGGTCTTCAAGTCCAACCCCCCTGCAGTGAGCAGGGACATCTTCAGTGAGAAGAGGTTTCTCAGAGCCCCCTCCAACCTGAGTGTGAATGCAACCATGGATGAAAAATCAACCATTGGAATAATCTCCCTGTGCAAGTTGAGGAGCCCGGAAGGCTGGATACTTTAAAGGTTGATGGGACAGGATGCTGGGACATCTAGTCTAGGTCATTAAGTCACGTTTTGCCATGAAGGGGATGCCGATGATCATCTGGAAAGACGCCAAGACCTTTCTAGCCTTTTCATCCCTCAGTGTGACAATCCAGGTGCAGGACCTTGCACCTTGGCATTGTTAAACCTGATGGCATTTGCAGGGGGCCACTTCTCAAACCTGTCCAGGTCCGTCTGGATGAAACCCCTTCCCCTCAGGTGTTTCAGCTGCAACAACTCAGCTTGGAGTCATCAGACCCAGGGCTTAGATCCCAACAGTTTACTAAAGCTCAGTTGCTCGCAGCTCCACTTTCTGTTTTGCTGAGCTGCTGACAGCGCTACCTTTCATTGACTTCAGCATTACCTGTGTAAGACAGCAAGGCTTACTGAAGCAGTTAAACACATCTGAAAACGCGTACCCCATCTCCTTTGTGAGGAAGCAAGGAAACGCTTTCTATTTATGCTCTGCCTGGCTCTAAAAAGTCACTCAGGAAGCCTTGAAGTTGGTTGTTTCTGGGCACAGCTGAGCTTTGGATCCTCAGCAGGGAGAGGGCAAAGCAGCTGGGCAGCTGTTGCAGTTCCCATATCCTGGATCTTACCAGCCTGCTTGCCTTCCCATCCTGCCCACCCCAGTGTGGAGCAGTGCAGCGTGGGCTTTCCTGCTGCGGCTTACTCCCAGGTTTGCTCCTTGGCCCAGCATTGCTGTGATAGGAGCTGCAGGTCCTGCAGCTCTTGCTGCAATAAGGGGGCAGTGCCGGTGAGTGCCTCTGTCAGCGTGAAAGCTGCAACCAGCAAACTCTTCCCCAGCCTGCCACTACAAGGAACTGAGTTGATTTCCATACTGTTTGCTTTTGGGTGGATGTTTCACAGATGAGAAGGAAGAAAAAGTGCATTTCCTCATGCCTCTTAGCTGAACAGGCCCCTTGCTGCGTGTTCTCTGGGCAGAGTTTCCTGCTCTCGCATGGCCAGTGCTGTTTCAGTGCCTTCCCCTTTGTGTGTCTGAAGAGCTGCTCATCCCAGTGTCACATGTCCTGTCCAGCCAGCTCCAAGTGGTTCCAAGGCTGTGCTGAGGTCAGGGGGGAAGGCAGCACCGCCAACGGCTGGACACAGGATGTAGGAAGCTGCTGTGGGTGCGTGCAAGGCTGGTGGTCCCCTGCAGCTCCAGTGTAGGGCTGCACCCCTCTGCCTCCCCACCGAGGTGTGTACATGGGCTTAGCAAGGGCAGGAGCAGTGGTGGCTGCTAGCAGGATACCAGCACAGAGCCCTGTAGGTGATGTGAAGCTGCTGCCATACCACGTCTGCTCCTGGGGGAACATGTCCCTAACCCAAACACCCTGAGCAAGAAGCACCCAGCTCCTGTTGAGCTGTCAGACCCTGAACACCTCTCACTGCATCTGCACAACAGCAGGAATGAAACCCCAAGCTTTACATAGGTTGTCGTTTACGTGAGGTCTGTTGGAATTCGTCAGCAGAGGTCCGGTGGCAGGTAAGGACTCTGACTCATCTTCCTTCACATGCCAGGCTTTCAGGGCTTCCTGCAAGACATGGTTTGATCAGGCACTGGCACTGCCCCAGGATTTCCCTGGGACACACAGTTCACTCCTAGCTGTGAACCCAAAGAGGCTCCGATTTTCTTTGCCTTATGAGAGCCATGTGTGAATGGTTTTGTCTTTGCACAGCTGAGGAAATGGCACCTTTGGCAAACGTGGCACAGTTTTCCTGTGACAGGATTTCCAAGGAAAGTCCTCACAGAACTGATGGGATTTGCTAAAGGGCAGAGAGTGAAAAAGGGGCTGCTGAAGGGTGCTCTGGTGGAAAGCAGCTGTGTGAAACTGAGGTGCCTGCAAGATGCTCTCGCTGTGGCTTGCTTTCCTTCACCAAAAGGTTGTTCAGTCCTCGCAATCTGAGCAATGCCGATGCTGCAGCCCTAAAATGAAGGTCTTACCTGTGACATGACATAGTAATCTCCACCCCTTGTCAGCCTCACTGCAGCCCCTGGGGCTTTGCAATGGCAGGAGCCCACAGAGCTGGTCTCAGAGCTCTTCCCTGTTGGGCATCTGTTCTTGTTTCTCTTTGATGCCCGGATGTGGTTTGAAGCTTCAA